GTCAGCATCCCTGAGTTGCCTCTTCACTGTTGACGTTGAGACTGGTGTTTTGCGGGTACTATTTAATGAAGCTGCCAGTTGAGGACCTGTGAGGCGTCTGTTTCTCAAACTAGACACTCTAATGTATTTGTCCTCTTGCACAGTTGTACACCGGGTCCTTCCCCTCCTCTTTCTATTCTGGTTAGAGCCAGTTTGCACTATTCTGTGAAGGGAATGGTACACAGCGTTGTACGAGATCTTCAGTTTCTTGCCAATTTCTCGCATGGAATATCCTTCATTTCTCCGAACAAGAATAGACTGACAAGTTTCAGAAGAAAGTTATTTGTTCTGGCCATTTTGAGCCTGTAATCAAACCCACAATTGCTGATGCTCCAGATACTCAACTAGTCTCAAGAAGGACAGATTTATTGCTTCTTTAAATCAGCAGAACAGTTTTCAGCTATACTAAGGGTTTTCTAATGATCAATTAGCCTTTTAAAATGATCAACTTGGATTAGCAAACACAACGTGCCATTGGAACACAGGACTGATGGTTGCTGATAATGGGCCTCTGTACGCCTATGTAGATATTCCATTAAAAATCAGCCTGTTTCCAGCTACAATAGCCATTTACAACATTAACAGTGTCTACACTGTATTTCTGATTAATTTGATGTTATGTTAATGGACAAAAAAATTGCTTTTCTTTCGAAATCAAGAACATTTCTAAGTGACCCCAAACTTTTGAACGGTAGTGTAACTCCTAGAGATGTGCATATTTCCCTTTCAAGACAATTCAATACGTATCTAGATATATGAGCTTCGAAATGATACAAGATTGATACATTTTAGTTTGAAATGATTCGGTGCGATTCGGTTTGATTAGAGGAATAATGCAAATGTCTTGCCACCCAAAGGTTGCGTGTTCAAATTCCATCATGGACAACTTTAGCATTTTAGCTAATTTGCTACTTTGCAACTACTTAGCATGCTAGCTAACTATTCCCCTAACCCTAACCTTAACCTTTTAACCTAACTCCTAGGCTCTGATACGATACAGGAACGAAACGTTTTAGTTTGAAACGATTCAGTGCGATTTGGTTTGATGAGAGGAACGAATTGATGCGATTCGGTTTGATGCGATACGATTCGATGCACTAACATTTGTTGCATAAACACATTCATTTTCCATTCTAAATTAAAATCTGCGGTTCATGAGCTGGGCCTCTCTGAGCTGGATCTGTCTAAACTGACTTCTGTGTATGTGTGTGTGTGTGTGTGTGTGTGTGTGTGTGTGTGTGTGTGTGTGTGTGTGTGTGTGTGTGTGTGTGTGTGTGTGTGTGTCTATGGTGTATGTAGGCACCTAAGCTGAGCCATAAAGGAAACTAGGCATCTACCACCCCACTATCAGTAAGGGGGGGCAATGTTAGCTTTTGATCTGAAATCTTCATCACCCACTAATTAATTTGTCATTTTTGCAGATTGAAAGTGTTAAGAGCTAGTAATGTATCAATATTTATCTTTAAAAATGAGCTATGCCATAGTCAATGAATATATAGCACAACTTTGGATTTCACCCAATCTCATAATCGAATGGCGTAGACCGTTTGGAAGTTTTGAAGGAATAGGAGTGAGCTTCTCTTCTTCTCCTGCTTCTACCATGAAGTGCGGGTAGCAAAAGTGATTGCTGTCCTTGTTATGCAATTATCAAATTTCCCCTGTATATCTAAAAATGACCATATATACTGATTGTTTCAAGCAAAATGACCATGGTGAACAATGAGCAATGGAAATAAAATCTAATGTAAGCCTCGATCAGCATGTAGCCTACCTATAGCCAGATTAGAGAGTTGTGTCTCAGGTGGTAGCTTAGGCTGGTAAAACACTATTAAATTACATTGGTTGTCCCTCAACTAATAAAGCCTAATAATGCGCAAGCCATTTTACAAACATTTGAATGCTGAAGTTGACACGCAGATGTGCCAGATCAGAAATAGGCCTACCTGGGATTGTTCAGCATGCAAAATGACTTGTAGATCAATGACTGTCAACATAATTACATGCTTAGTTTGACACTGAAGGAAAGGATGCAGTTGTCACAAAAACAATATTTTCAGAAGGTAGAAAGAAAGTAATTTGAGCAACCAAAAAAAGTGAACTGGTGATTTATAATGTTTGAATTGATTTTCTGACTGATGCATGCTACATTTGGATCGGTTTGGGGTCCCGCAGACCAATGCACTCATATCTTAAAACATTTGTACCGGGGACCGAAGCTTATTGGTGAATCGTTACAGCCCTACTAACTCCTAACCTGTAACCTTAACGTTAACCCTAACCCTAACCTTAACCTTAACCCCTAACCCCTAGCCTAGCTATCTTTAGTGTTAGCCACCTAGGTAACGTTAGCCACAACAAATGTGTAACATATCATACGAATTGTAATTCGTAAAGTATCATATGAAATGGATGATGGACATCCATAAATGAATACATACCTTATCAAATGTAACATATCATACTAATTTGGTGTCACGTATTTTAGTTTACTATGTTATGTCTACCTCTGAGTCCAGGTTGCATCTGAGCTTCTCTGTGAACACTCAGTGAAATAAATAGCTTGGGATCAGAAACATTAGGCCTGTATCCTGTCAAACATAACAATATCGCAGTTGGATTTAAATATTTTTTGTATAAAGGATAAACAAATTTAAACATAGCATTATGGCTAAACAAAATGGAGCATATCTAGGTTTGCAGTAGGCCTAGGTTGCATTAACCTCCAATACCCCCTGTATATTAATATTGTCCCAATAATGTAGGTTCCACAAGTGAGTGCTTCTAAAATACACGAGATTAAGATACTGTACTGACTTGTTCAAACATGATTCGATCGAATGAAACTATTCCTAAAATAAGTTGTTAGAATAAATGCAAATCACATAATATATGGAAATGAATTCCCCCATCGCTTTGCATCAGTGTCATAAAAACATTATCGCATCACTTGAGAGATGAGAGCATAGACTTTAAAACCAGGATGAGAGATGAGAGAGAGGGGGACAGAGCAAGCAAGTGAGTGAGAGAGAGCAGTCCAGAGGAAGCGCGCGCTGAGAGCCCATGATCGTCTCTAGTCCGCTGTACTGTGGCAGAACATTTAGATTTTTCTGAATGAAGAGTCTACCTATACGACAACTCAACTCAAGATTTATTGACGATGGTGCAACTTACATTATTGTTTTATGAAGGGTTGAAAATTGGACTTCTGTATCCTTTCTGCAGCCTCAAATGATTTTTCAGTAGCCTATAAATTCCGTTCTCCAGTACGTGGATTAAAACGGTAGGCTAGCAATTTGGGCAACTACTGTCACTTGAAATGTTACTCATTTTTGTAGGCTACTTTATCGGCTAGTTGGCTTTAAATCCTACCTGTAAAGAACATGTGCATGGATGTAAATTGCGGACTAGATTGCTGTCAGCTGTCGTTTGTTTTCTGATACTGTATCTTTGTGATTTCATGTTGCAAATGAGAATCTTGTAATTAGGACAAATGTTGTCTAGCCTTTCTCAAAATAATAGCCTATGTAAAGAAAGATAAGACTATGAAATACATTTTAGTATCTCCAGCTCTAGCCTTTTAGGGGCTCTAAGCAAGATTTGGTTGGGGGGGACCCCACTTCGGGTGAAGAGAACATTTTTAGTTTTGAAGTTAATTTCCTGCAATTCTACACATTTTGTCATGGGGTGTAGAGAAAATGTTGCAGTTTTAAAGCAAGTTTTCTGCAATTCTACACATTTTACCATGGGGCGAAGAGAAAACTTTGCAGTTTTACAGCAAATGTCCTGCAATTCTACACATTTTGTAATGACTTATGCAATGTTATCTGAGGGAGAATGACTAACTAAATCAATGTGGCCCCCCTGGAGGTCAGGGCCCCTGGGCACGTGGCCTATGTGCCCGGTCAGGATTTGGCTATGATTACTATAAGTTTAGATGGCTGGCTAGACTAACTGCCAATCTAAAAATGTGTTGCTGACATGGCTAATTGAGTGACTGTCATTGCACCTGGTGTATTCTACTATTCTTACTCTCAATAGTAAGTTGAGACCCCAAGTAACCCATTTTTTTAAATAATATGTCAATCAAAACTAGACGTTGAACGGGTTTGAATCCCCAAGCCGACTAGGTGAAAAATCTGTTGATGTCCCCTTGAGTAAGCCACTTAACCCTAATTTCTCCTGTAAATTGCTCTGGATAAGAGCGTCCGCTAAATGACTAAAATGTAATGTAATATAATGAACTGTCGTCTGTGCCCAGTGGGTTATGCCTGGAACCGGCCCCGACTATCTCGTAGGCTAAATGCACAAATTATTGTCCTAAAGCGAAGTAGGTGACATTATTGCATGAAATCGAAGTTGCAAAGTGTATTTTACTGCAACATATTTTTCAAGTATTGTAGTTTTTCATGACAGTATGTCTAGAGGACATAGTAAAGATTGTATAGAGAAATGTAATCATTGGTGCCATTTTGCCATCTAAACCAGTTATTCAAATGATACAATGAAGGCGATCACTCTCTAAGACACACACACAACTCAGAGAGAGAGAGAGAAGTGTGTGGTACACTTGTGTGGTTGTCTGGTTAAACCAGTGTTATTTTCTAGAAATTATTTAGGACGTTTCCCAGACCAGGTTTGACAGGTCCCCCCTCCTAACCTGGCAGTCCAGAGGACACCTGAAGCGCCCCCACATCTGACAAAAGAGCCCCTTCCTAAAATAATTTTGCTTCAATTGGCTTCAATATTGAATGTGTGATGTGTGCATTGGAGGCGGCTCTTGGGGGTGTTGCTTTATATCTACTGTAACTTAGGGAAACACTGGAGTTAGAAAAATTGATATTTCTCTTTTAGACATTTGTCATTTCTCAAATTTTTACAGTTTTTGGTAGTTCTGTTCTCATCGATCCCTTTTATTTTTTGCATAGGTGAAAGGAAGAGTTGGAGAACACCTCGTCAGAATCATGGGACAAACTGGGACATCATCTTTCCTCTTCAGCACTCTTCAACTCACAGTGTTGTTGGCAGTTTTTTCATCTGAAATTAAATTTGTTACAGCAGGGAATTCAGACCCAAGCCTCGGAACAAACTCTTCCATTGGCAACCAAACTAACAAGAAATGTGATTCAGTGGGGACTGAATGCCAAGTGGGTGTCATTCTGCCCATATGGTTACCAGAGAACCCATCCTTTGGTGATAAACTGGCAAGAGCCACAGTTTACTTTGTGGCCTTGTTTTACATGTTCCTGGGGGTCTCTATCATTGCGGATCGCTTCATGGCATCCATCGAGGTAATTACATCACAAGAGAAGGAGATCACCATCAAGAAACCAAATGGCGAAAAAGTGACAACCACCGTGCGTATATGGAACGAGACAGTGTCCAACCTGACCCTTATGGCCCTGGGTTCCTCCGCCCCGGAAATCCTACTGTCCGTCGTTGAGGTGTGCGGTCACAACTTTAACGCAGGTGATCTGGGCCCGAACACCATCGTTGGCAGTGCTGCCTTCAACATGTTCGTTATCATTGGATTCTGCGTTTCTGTCATTCCCGATGGAGAGCACCGGAAAGTCAAACATTTGAGGGTATTCTTTGTTACCGCCACCTGGAGTATATTTGCATACACCTGGCTTTATCTCATCTTGGCTGTTATCTCCCCCGGCATCGTACAGGTGTGGGAGGGCCTTGTCACACTGTTCTTCTTCCCCTTGTGTGTGGGGATGGCTTACGTCGCAGATCGCAGACTTCTTGTCTATAAGTACATGTACAAGCGCTACCGCGCAGGGAAGCGAAGAGGGGTGATCATTGAGACGGAAGGGGAGGCGCAATTTCCTTCAAAGATGGACATTGAAATGGACGGGAAAATGCTCAAACTCAGAGGGCTTCATGGACGGAGCGATGGGTTTCGATGAGAAGGACCTGGATGAGGAGGAGGCCAGGAGGGAAATGACCCGGATCCTGAAGGAACTTAAGCAGAAGCATCCAGAGAAGGAGACGGAGCAGCTGATAGAACTGGCCAACTACCAGGTATTGACACAGCAGCAAAAGAGTCGCGCCTTCTACCGATGCCAGGCTACCAGGATCATGACGGGAGCAGGGAACGTTCTGAAGAAGCATGCAGCAGACCAAGCCAGGAAAGCTGTTGGTGCATACGAGATCCGCTCCGAAGTTTCGGAGAATGACTTTTCGTCAAAGATCTTCTTTGACCCCGGTACATACCAGTGCTTGGAGAACTGCGGTACAGTGGCCTTGAATGTCGTACGCCTTGGTGGGGACTTAACTAACACTGTTTCAGTGGAATACCGTACCGAAGATGGCACAGCCAATGCTGGCTCGGACTACCAGTTTCACTGAGGGCATTGTGGTGTTCAAACCTGGTGAGACTGAGAAGGAGATCCGGATAGACATCATTGATGATGACATCTTTGAGGAGGATGAGCATTTTCTGGTCCACCTTAGCAACGTGAAGGTCATATCGGAGGGCACTGGCTACGGACAACCAAGTGCTAATCACGTGGACACTTTGGCGGGCCTTGGCCTACCCTGCTCAGCCACCGTGACTATCTTTGACGATGACCATGCCGGGATCTTCACTTTCGAAGAACCGGTAATGACCGTGAGCGAGAGTATCGGCATGATGGAAGTGAAGGTTCTTCGTACCTCAGGAGCACGGGGACTAGTGGTCGTACCCTACAAGACCATGGAGGGTACAGCAAAAGGAGGGGGAGAAGACTTTGAAGATACGCACGGAGCGCTGGAGTTCCAGAACGATGAGATCTTGTAAGTTACATACTTGCTTTTAACGTTGTCATGTTTGTATTGTTGTCATGTAAATGAGGTGTAGCCTACAGCACATTGAAGTTCAATTTGGACAACTGTTATGTCTTAGTTATGTCAATGTCCTTGTTTCTAGTTTGTCCCACAGAAGCGACTTTCTGTCTCAAAAGGAAAAGAGCTTTATTGTTATCGCCTAGCACTAAGAGACTTCCCACTGGGCACAGACGTCAGTTCAACTAAATTTTTTTATTTACACTTGGTTTAGCTGTCAACTAATGTGAATTCAATGTGAAATCAACAAAAAATATCATCATATCATTGGATTTGGGTTAAAAGTTGAGTGAAAAAAAGACGAAATTCCCATACGTTGATGACTTTTTGCAAATCCAATCAGTTTTCCACATTGATTCAACGTCATCACTTTTTTGTTGTTTATGACGTGGAAACAACGTTGATTCAACCAGTTTTTGCCCAGTGGGTTGTACTTGTATGGCCCATTGACCTCATCATTACATTCCATTTATGTAAGTGTCTCTGGGGTTCAAGAAGGAATCCTGTCTTAAGTTCCTATCTTTCCACTGTACTTCATCCTTTCTGCTTCACTGTTCTTTTTCTCTCATCTTTGCCCTCACTGCCCCTCTTGTTTTATCCATTCATGTGAGCATTCAATTGACTGCCTGACTAGCCCCTGTCTACAAATCTACCAATTAGTGTTTTGCATACCATATGTAGAGATACTGTGGACTGTGAGAGTATTGCAGAACTGTCTTGAATGATTTAATTTCAGTTAAATGGGTTTTTTCTGCAATTTCTCCTCCACTTTTCGCTCAACACCAGTTGAATCTTTTATGACTTGAAGTGCTTCAGCATAGAACATACTGTACAATACTGTACAATTGAGAGTATTCAAGTGTACCAAATAATGTGGTGTATCTCACTGAAGATGGGACTTGATGACTCACTGGGCTGGACAAAAGAGAGAAAACACATCAAGAAATGATCATTGTGATGCTTAATGATAATGCGACATTAGCATGTGGCATGAATAGATTAGGTATGGAATATGTTGAATCCAAGAGGCAGCAGCTGTTCTTTGGCTGATCATTTTGTGTATGTAAAAACACTGGAATACCTTCCTGATAAAGATAAAAAATATCAATATAACAGGTGTATCAAAATATGTAATGGACTCTAATCAGTTATCGGCAAAAAGTTACTATTTATGAAGATCTCCCCAAAATGACTAAACTAATTTTAGTATGTTATAGGTTCCAGAGAGCTACGAGCAGAGAAAGGAGTTATGAACATGAGACTGTAGGACTCCTACTTGTTCACTCCACATGTAGTTTACATACTAGCTAAAATACTTTTGGATCTTGAATTGGTAAGTCTGCAGTCTATCCTGTTTATTTAAACTCAAAACAAACTCCTCATTCATAAGACATTGCATGTAAGCTAAGCAGTTGTAATATTGAAGTGTGAAAATGCAGCTGCTATCGATACAGATTTTCCATATCAGTGTGTCCATCATTTATAGGAAACTGACCATGTGAGTAAGGCCTTGTTACCTTTTTCAATGGGGAATCCAGCGACACTTTTCTCACTCCCCTCTTCGAACTGGAACTCCCCTAAATGATATACTGGTATAGTCAGGTATACATACCTAAAATAGCAGTTGGGCCAGACATTTTCCATGGATTGTGGGGTGGGGGATATAATGACAACAAATGTATTCCATAGAGGATAAACATTGCCAGTTTGAGGACAGCACCAACATGTTGAAATGGAAAAGGCCCTGTGCTTGTTTTAAGTTTTAAGACGTCCACACATTTATACAGAGGCAAACGGATTGCTTTGAAGTGAGCAATGTAAATCGGCTCAGCAAGCTTTGCATAGAGAAGCAGTACCATATATAGACAAGGCACCAGCCTCTGTTGGGAAGTCAGTTCTTAAGTTTTCATTTGGAAAATGTATTAGCGTTGGCATTGACACATTTGAGAGGATGCAGTTGCAAGTTATTTCCAAACCTATTTGAAGATGCATGCAATGTCCATTGCAATGTAAACATTGATTTATGTTTCTGCACATATCATTCACTTATGCTACAGACAGAATATGATTGATGGTAATTCCATTTGTCACTGAAGCAAGAGAACTGGTTACTCTCAACCTGCTGGATCCTGTATCCAGATAAGGGGGGTTGAATAGTCAAAGACGATCTAGTCGTATCGTTACAAGAAGTTACACGGTCAGGGCCATGTTCTTTTGTTTTGCTGGTAGGAACAAGTGTTAGTGGTTGTGATGATATTGGGAGACATGAATGTGTATTAAGGGCTTAGCTCCTGACTGAGCCAGTGTAGGTTTGAAAGAATTAGCACCAGGTACTCCGTCAAGGACCTTTCAGCCACCTTTGAAATATCAAACTAACAATGTTCTACAAAGTGACATTTCTACTGGATATTTTCTCCATTAATGGGGTTTGGTCCACTGTACTTAACTATACTGAACAATAACTGTGCTGTAAATGTAAAAACTACATCATTTTACATCACAAGTTATTACAGCCAGAACGTGTCCTACTGTCCTTATCAGACAAGATCATATCTGCTGCCATCAACCGTAGAGAATGATGGTCCAACCATGCCTTTTTTTATTTTGACAAGACCCTGGTACTATAGATATTATTAACTTCCCTGCCTACATGTAGTGAAATGAATGGCTTTGCTTTGACTACACACATTGACAAGCATGAAACTTGACAGAGGGTTACTTTGGGCTTTAGGAGGAGGTACTATTTCAAACAACGAATTAAATCGTTTTTTTGCCTATGCTAATTTTTGCCCTCTCGTCTCTGGCCTGCTCTCGCATGAGGACAGACCTCGTGCTCCTCTATCCTTATAAGCTCAGCAGACCACTGTCATGATCCAGGGTTAGCGTAGCTGACCGTGCGGCCCAGTGGCGGCTCTGGCCTGTGGATCACATGGCTGGGGGAGTGACGCCTTCCCTTGGGCTGCATGACAGCGGGGCTGTCACCACCGCTTCATCAGACGAGCAACAGACAGAGGCAAGAGACCAAGGCACTTTGGACCATAGAGGAGCAAGAACAGCAAGGGTTCAAATCGTGATTGAAATCTTTCAAATGACTTCAAGCTATGCTTGATTGAGCTTGCCTGGTGCAGGCTCAAGCAAATGCTTAAAGTATTTGAACGATATCAAATACTATGTGAACCCAGGCCTGGGAGGAAGAGGGAGGAGGACACACAAAAACTCCCCAACTCCACTGACTCAACCTCTGTCTATATACGCCTGATATGATTTCCCTTGCAGCCTTTGGATGTTTTTGAGGGGGTTGGTCAGTGCAGTGCCTATGTCCCAATTTTTGGGGAGCTAAACGCTTCAGGGGTGATGGACATATTTGTGTCTTTTTTTTCTGCAGACGAAGGAGGCCCCCTGCTGCCTGAAATGTTTGTCAGGCTTTCTCGACATGGCTGAAACAATGTTTGTCAGGCCTCTAATTGGCTGAGATACAGAGACTGGGAGCAGATGATGGCAGACGTGTTACACTCTAAAAAGAAAAGGTTATTCAAATTGAAACTGTGGGAGAACCCCTTTTAATGGATCCTCGAATAACCTTTTGGGGTTAATTTTTTAGCCTACATATTCTTACTTCTTTGTTGATTGATATCCATTTAATTGTATCCATTTTCTGTTTTAGAAAGATTTGCACAAATATGAAAAGATAGATGGTATCATCATAAAACAATATCAATTTAGATCATACAAGGACAAACCTTACCTTAAATTGAGATCTTTAAATTGTATCAGTTACAGTGAGGGAAAAAAGTATTTGATCCCCTGCTGATTTTGTACGTTTGCCCACTGAAAAATCTGTCAATATGCCCTTGAGCAAGGCACTTAACCCTAATTGCTTGAGGGTCACTGTTGATAATGGCAGACCCTGGCCATGACCCCACTTTTGGAGGGGTTACTCAGCTGGAGTTGGGATATGCCATTTTTTTATTTTACCATTATTTTACCAGGTAAAAAAACACATTTCCAATTCACACATGCTTATTACATGTGTGAAATAGGACAAATAAGCACCCACCAAATTATTATTATTATTATTTAATAAGCCTCCCTCACTTTATGAGCTGTCTTCTTACTTACCGCAGTCTTCAGGTTCACAAAAACTGCGAATGATTTCAAGACCACTGGCATAATGCTCTTATAGCAGGGCCAGAAATAGAACATTAATGTGAGGGGGAAAAACTAATTATATTCATGGTAGGGAAGGCAACGTATTGGTCTGCCTGCTCCTTAGGCACCAAAAGAAAATTACTCTTGACAGAGTCCAATGAGAGACAGACTATAGCCTACTTTCTGCATGGAAGTATGATGGACTACTGTATGTGGTTGGAAAGGTTATAATTGAGTAGGTCACAAAGGAGTTGGTTAATAGAGTTTTTACATTGGGGAGTTTTCCTCCTCCGTTATAGTGACTGATAGAGTGGAGTCGCTGAGTCGGTCATTGTACAGTATTCTCCTCTAGTTAATCACAGATACTGCCAGTCCAGTTGGAGGGCTTGAATTAAAAGGCTAATATTATGTGTATGGGGACTGCCTCTGTGTTATCAAGTCTTGCTCTCAGTCTCCTTTTGTGTGGCTGGGTCTGAAGAATAGAGGGTAATGCCTGTTACTGGTTGGTGTTAAGTCTTTCCCTGTTAGAATTCTCCATAACAGGGTCTGATAACCCGGGAAGGCCCAAATACACTGAAAGCAGAGCCAGGTAAAACCAGGGTTCCTAGTCTTTGGAGATGTTCCTCTGTCACCTCTTGGTGTATCCCATTAGTTAAAGTCAGAAATTTGGGTCTGGTCAACTCGGTAGCTTTGCTAAGCTATTCTTTAGCACTCAATGTGTCTTTCCTTTGCTTTACTCAACTAGAATAATTTCTTTAGCTCTTTCCACTCACAGCCCTGTCATCTCGTATACGGGTTGAA